CCTGAAACCATTCTTGAAAAGTATGCTGACACATCCTGACCTACTTTATCTATGATAAAGTGCCTGCCAATTTACCTCAATCCGTTGCTGATGGTGTCGCTCGATGGTCTGTGGCCAATGGAATGAAACTCAACAGCTCAAAATGTAAAGTCATTAGAATCAATGCCCGGTGCTCCAACACTCATGCTTTACCATCTCCCATACTCTATAAAACTGAACTCGAAATTGTATACAGCTATAAATACCTCAGAATCCTACTCAATGAGAATCTTGATTGAGATGAGCAATGAATAAAGGTGCACAACACTATAAAATTAGTGCCATTTCTACTCAAGCGCCTTAAGCAAATATGATACACTCAGCCCAACCTACTACAAACGCTTTTACTACAAGTCTACAGATCTTACGCTATTAGCCACATGATATATAGTGCCCCAGTTCTTACCTTTTGCAGTCTTGCAGCAAAAAAAGAGATTCAAGATTTTCACAAAAATGCCTTAAACATCACTGGAGTTAATGCAACCAACTCGAGCTGTCTCAATATTTGTTATGACATTGAAGAATTACTTGAGAAGACATGTCTTAATATCCTTAAAAAGATCCTTGCAGACACAAACCATCCAATAACCACTAAATTACCTTGCACCAATAGCAAAAACCCAAACAGATTCCCATTTGCTATAAATACCGCAATCACTACTATCTATCAGCAATCCTTTGTTCAAAAATACCTACGTATTCTACGTGATGGCATTAGTGACCTCAACCTCCCACGAAACATTGGCAGCTCCACTTCTTTTTCAACAAATAAATGATCAGTTCTTTTTTCTGCATTTTTAGCTAACTGTGTAGTAATTGCTTTCATTTTATTATAAGCTACTTGCGTTAATTATACTAAAAATTTCTGTTTTAGTTTTTTCCAATATTATTGTTGACTTAAAGTTTATTTTTTTCTTTTAGCCACCTTATGGGACTATTCTACAGAACTATTAGAATGCTTGAAAACGGCATCAAACCTGTGTAAGCATTCAAAAATATGTTTTGTATTTTTAATTACTTAGAAAATTTGTAACATATATATCTTTTTAAATTTAGTTTTAACATAGCATTTCTAACTATTTTTTTATAGTTCTATAGTATTATGTTTTATTATTTTTTATAATTGTCATTATTTTTTTTCATTACCTTTTTCAGATATGTCTTTGATGGAAAGCCTCCTATGATGAAATCTGGAGAAGTATTTTCTAATTTTTCTTCTCATTAAATAATAACTTGATTAATGCAATATTAAAGAATCTTAAAACACTTTCCCAGGAGCTTAGTACTCCAATAACACACACACACATACATACATACATATATATATATATATATATATATATATATATATATATATATATATATATATATATATATATATATATATATATATATATATATATATATATACATATATATATATATATATATGCATATATATATATATATATATATATATATATATATATATATATATATATATATATATATATATAAATATATATATATATATACACACACACACAGGGCTCAATTTAATGGTCGGACATTGTCCAGCTAAACCCTCAGATTGTATAATCAATTTACAAAGTAATCAGACATTTTGACCAAGGTGAATTAAATTCTGGCGTACTATTTGTCAGTATTATATTTCATAAATTATACTGACAGTATACTGAGTTCATAAGTTTATATTTATCAGTCTGTCCAATCTAATCACAAACATATTTTATGACGATCGTATGCTATTGCTGACCACGCAAATGATTTTTTTTTGTAACAACTTGACAGGGTTGTTTAGATGTTTTGATGATTTAAACGTTTCAGAAATACGCTGTAAAAAGAAACATTAAGCTAAACTTAATTTAGTAAAAAAAACTGCAAAACTAAAGAATAAGCAAAAGAAAAAGAAAATAAATTAGCCTTAAAATAAAACTAAAAAAACTGGAAGTTAAAATTACTTTTTATGTGTTTAGTTGCATTTGAAAAAAATTACTTTAAAACTTATATTTTAAAACATTTAGTTAAAGATATGCAAAACGCTTTTACAAATTACATCTATTGATTATTTAATAAATAAACAAATTTTATTAAAATTATTGAAAAGTGAAATTAAATTATTGAAAACAAAAAAAAAAATATTTTCAAGTTGTATAAACATTTTGTTCAAAAAGTTGCAAAAAAACCTGATATAAGACTATAATAGAAAGCTGTAGTAGTTCGAAAACTACGAGTGAAATTAATGGTAATTATTTTCACTTTGACAGCATATACATTGTGTAATTATTCTAGGTAAATAAATTAAATTATAAATTACAAATCATGTAGCTCTAGATATTTATCAATGTGATTTTCGAATAAGTTCAAGCTTTCACTTTTTGTTAAGTTTTAATTAGTTAAAAATTGATGACGAATATTGCAGTTTTAACTATTTCTCTTCTGATTTTGAAATTTTTATGTTGGAAAAGACACTAACTGTAAATGGAATAAGAATCCATTGTCTAGCTGAGTGCATACTGGGAGCCATAACCTACTCAGAAAACTACCTGGAGTTATTGGTATTGCAAAGTTAGCTAAATTCCCTATTGAATGTTGGAGTTGTCTGTTTAGTGAAGATATTCTAAATAATATCGTGTACTGTACAAATTTCTATATCGAAACCATTAGTAACCGATTTCAGAGAAAAAGGGATGCAAAAAAACTTGATTTGGTCGAATTAAAGGCATTTATAGGTCTCTTATTTCTAGCTGGTTTGTATCAGAGTAATAGGCAAAGTCTGGAAGATCTATGGGGATCAGACGGGGATGGAGTAGAAAAATTTTGTTTAGTAATGAGTATCAAATGTTTCAAATTTATTGTGTGCTGTCTTCGATTTGACTTCCAAGTAACTCGTAATGAAAGGCGAGAAACTGTAAAAAATGCTATACTTTAGGAGAAAACGTTTGTATTGATGAAAAATTAAAATCATTTCGAGGTAAATGCAATTTTAGACAATACATTCCAAGCAAACCTACGAAGTATGGAATTAAAATTTACGCACTCGTTGACTGTCAGGTTTTCTATCTATACAACTTAGAAATTTACCCTGGATTACAGCCAGAAGGAATTTATCGGAAGAGCAACAAACCTGCAGATGTTGTGCTATGGCTTTGCGAACCCATTTACAGATCCGGTTGAAATGTCACTGCAGATAATTGGTTTACAAGTGTTAAACTGATTAAACAATTAAAAAGTAAAGGATCGACCTATGTTGGAATAATTCGTAAAAACAAACGTCAAATTCCGAAAGAGTTTATTGCAAAAAAAGAAAGAGTTATTAGAAGCAGCATTTTCGAGTTCAGTAAAGATATGATGTTAGTATCTTATGTTCCTAAAAAAGAAAAATGTTTCGTTTTAGCATCTAGTTTACACGAAGATGATTCAATAGATTTTGACACTGAAGACAAATTTAAGCCTTCTGTTATAACATTTTATAACAAAACCAAAGGAGGAGTTGACACAACTGAACAGTTATGTGCGTCGTACGATGTTTCGAGAAATGTATGCAGGTGGCCAATGGTATTATTTTATGCTATGTTAAACATAAGTGGCATCAACACTTAAATATTATATTTTGGGATTGCTCAACCTGTTGTTAGAAGAAAAGTTTTCTTAAAGAGATTATCTCATGAATTAGTGATGCCTCATCTTATTTTAAGAAGTGCAAAAAAAAGAGGGTTACTAAAAGAATTTAGTGATAGTTTAAATCGTTTTAGAACATTCCCAATTTTAGAACAAAACCAAGATAACATTAGAAATGAAAATAAAAGAAAAAGATGCCAGACTAATAATGCGCCTAACAAAAGCACATTATTCAGTTTCATTCATTATTTACAAAGCGTATTATTCATTTCATAACTACAAGTTAATAAATGAAGTCATACAAAACATTCTTTTAAACTCGAGTTATAAATGTTATGTTTGGGTTTTTCCTTAGCCGTTAAATTTTATGTAGAAGAATTTTTTTTATAAAATGAACCAAAATTCAAACCGATCAAAAATAACGCGTTTAGTAAATAGATACGTAAATTTCAAAATTATAATTATATTTGTTAAAAACAAATTCTGCCAATAAGTTCATAAAACCGAAAATACTATTTTCCTTTTTGGATTGAGTAAAAAATAGTAAAAATACATTAGGTTTCACTGTACATAAAAATAAAATATTTTAATGGAAATAAAAAAAAAACAAAGCCGAAAAGTGGTAATTTTTGTTTCATTACAATATTAATGTTATCAAAACCAGTTAGTGCAAATGTTTTTTTGTAAATGGAAAAACTCAATATACGCTTTTAGTTGTAAGTACATTTAAATCCCTTTAAGAAAGTCAACCATAAATAAATGTCCCCGTAATTAAAAAAACAACAACTATAAAACAAATGTTTTAAAGCAAAAAAATTAGGTTTAAAAAGTAATAAGATTTTAATATAAGGAAACTTTTTTTTAAATCAACACTTAAACTTTATAATTTTTTTTAATAACAATATTTTTTAATTTAAAGCTATTTCATTTCAAAGACTTACAATAATTTTTAATGTCGTTTTAAATTTAATTTTTAAATTTAATTACAATGAGGTATTTAAAAAAACGCAACTGACGTAATTAAACTTTTAACAATGTAAATATCTTTATTGAGTAAAGTTACATTTATTCGCGTTGCTTTTTTCCGTTACGCAGCGAAATCTCGTAACAAGGCCTGATAGGGGAGACCAGGGTTGGTTGCAACAGGGGTAAGATGCAACAATGCGTTTTATAGAATAATTTTTACATATTTTTAATATTTAAATTATAATAATTTTTACATATTTTTAATTTTTACATATTTTTTACATATAACTATAATTATGACTCGCAAGTTATAAAAAACTTATAGTAATAAATTTAAAAATTTTAAAGTTATTGATAATTGTTTTTTTTCTATA